AGACTTCTATGGTTAACTGCCCTTTGATCTTCAGACCAGCTTTATTTGTTAGATACGAACAAGTTTTCCTCACACCTGAGCAATTTCAGTTAGTCTGGAGACACCAGAATACACAGGTGTTTATTGATGTCTTAACATGCGGGATGTTCCCTGACACCAAATGCTTACTCAGGAACTGTAAGTCTGTAAGTCCCAAATTTTTCTGATACATTGTCACCTCCAGTTCCATTGATGCTACGGCCTCATTCATCCTTTAAAATCCTTAAGAAATCGAATGGCACTCTTCCCTTACAGGAATTCCCCCTGCCACCTTACCCCACCCTTACTCCACCCTTACGCCAGCTGCACTCTTGAACCTATGCAGCTGAACGTATTGTAGAGAAAATCCACAATCAGGCTAGATTTGAATTTAAATTCATTCCAAAAATTTCAGTGAACTCCCACTGAATCCAAGAATCCTGCTCCATTTCTAAGTCCATTGACATTATCTTCTAATTATGTTCTGTCCTGTCCACTAAGATTTCCAGGTCTCCCTTATCCTAACTTGAAGCTGATGGAATTCCTTTGTATTGCCCTGATAAAAAAAAATCTTCAAAGTGATAGAAGAGTGCATTTAAAAGTTTGCATCGTTGCTTCCAACAGCCACCCACCATCCATTCCCACCTGTGTTTCTGTGGAATTCAGAGCTCTTCCCTCAGGCCAGTGGTTCTCAATCTCCCTAATGCTGCGACCCTTTAATACAGTCTCTCATGTTGTGGTGCCCCCAGCCACAAAATTATTTGTGGCTTTGTTACTGTAATCTTGCTACTGTTGGGAATCATGAATAGTGAGATATTTGGTATGTCGTGACCCACAGGTTGAGGACTGCTGCTTTAGACTAACTCTGGCCTTTGTGCATCTAAGCTTTGAGCGTTGTCAGGTTTCCATCTCTGCCATATTCCTGCTTAGAAAGCTCTCATCCCTCTTGTACTCAGTGCTCTGGGTCTCACTGCTCAACTTCTCAGAATTTAGTTTCCCTCCATGCTCCCTGCAACAGTGATTTAAAAGGACCCAAAGAGCCTGTGTGTTGCCAACTCCGAGGTTCTCTTTCCAGCCATCATTTGGCTTGTATCACTAACAGTGGATTGCTGTCCTTGAAAACTTTGATTTTCAAGATACATTTCACTGACTCTTCTTCCAACCTAAGTCTAGTCTCCATCTCCACTTTAAGTCCCTGTATTTTGTGATTGTGTGTGTGTGTGTGTGTGTGTGTGTGTGTGTGTGTGTGTGTAGATTAATGTGAGTCCCTCCTCCCACTTTCGTTGTATATTACCCGATTGGTGTTTCAGCCCAGACCTCTGCCCAGACCTTCTTCACATTTCAGCTCCTTTCTGGTTAGGGCATGGTGGTATTTTCCATAGCATTGTGTTTTCCATAGCGGTTGCACCGAGTGACCGTCCCACAGGTGCCTAAGGTTTTCTTTCTCTGTAGTCGTCCAGAATTGGCCATTGCATTCTCTTTTTACGACAGTTATCCTAACTGGTTTTAAATCGAATTTCCTTGACAGGTGGCGACACTGAGCATTTTCTCATGCACATTTTAGCCTTTGCATTAGTGTTCAAGAAATGTCTATTCAGGCGAAAGTTTGTCTACAGAAAAAATATTTGCTGGAGTCCAGTAAATATCTAACAAACAAGGCTATTTAAAGTGAATATATATATATATATGAATATATGTATAACTATACACACATACACTATTACAGACTGGGAATGAACACTACTGAAGTTAAGTAAAACAAAATTAAGTAAAAACTGAAATTAGGTAAAAATAAAAAAGGCTATTTTCTGGCTGGTTTCTTCCATGGAATTCAGCCTTCTTTAAGAGGCAGATACCTGAATACTAATTATGGTTTTCTGGTTATTACTAGTTCTCCCCCCACACACACTAAAATTACAATGGGAAAAAGGCATACATTACAGAAGGACCACAGTCGAAGGGTGAGTAGGGAAATATGTCCCTTTCATTTTACCCTTGGTAAATGAAATAAACTTTCATTACAAGCAATTTTCAATTCTACTTCCACATTCTCTCAAGTGTATTCTAAGACTCAGTCTCTTGACATGGTAGTGATGGAATTCACTGGATTTAAACTCAGATCTCAACTGATTAGAAGTGTTATCTGTCTCAAATTCGTAGTTGAGATGAACCATCACTAAAGCAGCACTTGTCTTAATAGCAATATGATCAATTATAAGAATATGACTCCTTGTGTGTTAAACTTCATTTCTGAAGTTTTAGACTTACAGAAAATTTGCAAAACAGATGGCACCAAGTGTCAATTTTATCTAATTACCTAAAAGAATTAGATAAGCACAGTTTTGCTGGGTTTTTTTTTTCTCATTGTCAGAATACCATGTGGACTTTGAGGAACAAGACCAGAGAGAGATGGGTGTTTTTTTTTCACCCTACTATATGAGTGCACACGATCATCATGATTTTCATTACCCAGAATGGACAATGCCTATTACTTTCCAGCACTATTAATATATACCTTCTCTGTGCTGTTTATTTTTGCCAACTCAACATAAGCTAGGGCAACTGAGAAGGAACCTGGTTTGAGAAAATGCCCCCAAGGTATTGGCCTATGGACTTGACTGTGAGGCATTCTCTTGATTAACAATTGATGTGGAGGATTCAATCCAGTGTGGGCAATGCCACTCCTGGGCTGGTTAGTCCTCGCTTGTTTAAGAAAGCAAGCTGAGTAAACCAAGAGGAAGCCAGTAAGCAGCATTCCTCCATGGTTGGAGTTCCTGCCTTGGCCTTGCTGATAAACTATAACCTGGAAGCCAAATAAACCCTTTCCTCTCCAAGCTGCGTTTGGCCGTAGTGTTTTATCACAGCAACAGAAACTAGGACATCCTCTCTTCCTTCACTACACCTTGAAATCACGTGATAAAACCCATGATGAAATCGGTGCTACGGTTACAGGTAGGGATTAAAGTCCACCTGGAGAAAAATGACTTTCGTTAATGTTTGGCTGTTTTGTTTTTGTTTCTAATTTTTCCCTATAATGCTGGAGATCACACACAGGGCCTTGTGCATACTGGACAAACAGTCTGCCTCTAAACTACATTTCCAACACACTCCCCCAAAAATAATGTTTTAAACTAAGTAATAGTGACAAATGTGTTTGAGCTAGGATCTCATGTACCTTAGACTGTCCATAAAGTTACTAGGTAGCCAAGGAAAAACCCTGACCTTCTGAAAGCCCCTAGTGCTAGAGTTACAGGTATGTGCCACTATACCCAACATATGCCTTGCCGGGGACTAATTCCAGGGCCTTGTGCTGCTAGGATAGCACTCACAAATGAAGTGCCATCCCAAACTCTAGTAACAAATCTTTTTCAATATCAGAAAAAGATACGGTACACATCAAGGCATTTGGTCATAGTCCCAAGTGTTCACTTAAGTCTTTCAGCCAGGCATTTCAATTAAGGTCTTCACAGGAGTTTATAATAAAGACGCCAAGGGAAAATACAAATATTACATGTCAAAAAATCAAATTCAGTTTTAGGGATGAACTTTTTCCTAAAAATACTTGACCAAAACACTGAAATCGCGAAAGAATTTCAACAAGAAGAGATGTGGGTGAGGGGAGGGTAACAAGCCAAGAAAAGAACAAGAACAATGCAAAGGAGGGACAAAAGGCCGGTTTTAAAAGCCCAGTTTCAGACAAAAGAAACATTTATTAAAGGGCAGGAACATTCGAGTACATAAACTCTCATTTATCCCATGCTAGCTTTCGAACAAAACGGAAATGTTCATTTCATCAAAATCTTCAGTAAGACAAGTCTTAGCATAAATATACAGTTCGAAAACAAATTGTGCTCCCAAAACTTATATTGAAGGCTTAATCCCTAGACTCTAGAGATTGCTGTATTAATAATGAAGTTTTTAAAGGACTTTATCAAACCTGGCAGGTGCAGACAGGCACAAAGGAAAAACCCACGGGAAGACGCAGACTACCATCTATAGGCCAGAGAAAGAAGACTCAGCGCCCTATTCTTTAGAAGACACCCTATTCATCTATCTACACGACAGTCAAATGAAGTGTGTCCGGGGAAAGGTCTCAACCGTGGTTAGGTACTTAAGCCTTGATATTTAGTTCTTCCGGATCATTAACGATGTGTGAAGTAAAACGAGAGACTCGATGAACGCGGCGAGCTTTATAAACATCTCTAGGTCCTTCCAGTGCAAACGTGTCTCCTCTAAGTTTGTTCACTAGGACACCAGCCCAGAATTGCTCTAAATAACTCGGTCCCTGCAAGCATGTAGTGACATCCTGAAGCTTCTGCTGATCTCCCTTACAGCTTCGTAACTTTCCCCATGACAGCAACTGCCGCCTCCAGCGGTCCAGGACTAAAGGTTCCCCCGAGACCCTCTATTCTGTCTCAAACGGGAATAAAGGGGGTGACAAGGCTGGGGTGCATGTACTAAGGGTGATCTCTTTCTAGTCATGGCCTAAGTAACTCGACTGAGTCGGTGTGCTGCCTCGCGCAAAAATCCTTAAGAGAAAGATCAGACCGAAAAGGAAAGCCGAGGGGGCGCCAGAGCCAGCGGAAACGGAATACGGCAAGCGCAAAGGCGCCGCGGACAGCTCCCGGGGGCGGACAAAAAGGCGGCGCCACCGGAAGTGACGTATCGGGAGGCCGCAGCGCTGAAAAGGTGGACTTGATACTCAGAAAAGAACGCCCCGGGACGAACGAATGTCTGCCTTGCGGTCGTATCAGCAAGGAGACTTCAGACAACGCGAGAATTTTGGTTCGGGATTTGTTCTCCTCCTCCTTCCGCCCCACTCCATTACCGCCCCCAATTCGTGTGGACGCATGCGCCGCACCCGAGACGCCTAAGCCAATCAAAGTGAGTGACGCGGGAGAGGGTCGGAAAGGGCACGTAGGCCACGCCCTTGTCGCGCAGGCTCTCGGGAAAACGTCACCGGGATTATAAAAGCGCGCGCGCCGCACGTTGCTGCCTCTTTCGCTGCGGTCAGCGTGCCTTAGCTTCGTGCGTACTTAGTTTCCGTGTCGCGGTGACTGTTGGGCCCTCATTTGTGAGCAGCCAAGATGCGGGCGGCACAAGACCGTTGCGGTGCAGGCCGCCGGCCGTCAGCAGCACAGAAGCCTGGTGAGGGCTAGCACGCGGACCACAGCCATGGACCTCCACCCGAGGACCTCCACCGTCACGGATGGTGAGTGACACCTTCGGGAGTGAACCCGGGTTCTGGGTTGTGAAAGTCCATGTGTCTTTGGGACCTGCCGGCTGTGGCAGTCTCCCTTCCTAGGCATGGAAGAGCATGTACTTGTTATTGGCAAAGCTGTCACCATTTAATTGGGACCAGATTCTGACTTGAGCAAGTAACATTCTATCTTGAGTTGTTAACGAATCTGCGAGGTGCCAGGAAAGTGGACATATTTCTAAACTGTTAAAATGTTTGTAGGTAACACTGGAACTCATTGCTGTTTGGTGATGGAAGACACGTTCATGTAAGTTTTATGCTTTGAGTGTTTTCGGGGTTCTGAGTAGGGAGAAGGCCGTCATTGATTACTGTTTCGCGAGGTTTGCACGCGTGCTGGCATTCTGTAACTTAGATGCTAATAGCCAGTTGTATAGGAAGTTGCTGAACTGGTAGGGTTTCAGGACTGAGGGGAATGCACAGATGCTCTGTAATGTTGGTTTTCTTTTCTTGCAGGTATTGTTAAAGCAAAGTAGTAGTGGCTAAGCTCTTCCGGGCACCTTACAGGGGATCTTCGCATTTAAATCTTGGTAATGGGCATTGTGAATGTTAATATAGCACTGTTTTGAGTGGCTGGCCGCTATTTCGTATGAAGTTTTTAATAAGCCAAATAAAGTTTGGTTGATGAGTAATAAGATCGTGTTCTGTTTATTTCTGGAGGCTGTATGAGTAAGAGTTCTTACACAGGTGACGTTTGCAGAGAAAATGTCTGGGATAACCAGGATACCTGAGGGGAGGGTGGTCTCATTGCTATACGTTATGCAAAGGTGCACTGAAGACTTATGTGTCGGTTTTGTTCAAGCTTTGGGCTTGTGCAAACTAAAAGTTAACCGCTTGTCACATTTGTCATTTGCTGGCCTTAGCATTTTCAGAGTAATTTTGTTACGCAGGCAACTAATGGACAGTTGCCTTTTGTGTGTGTTGTATGCTGCTCACCAAGCCCTTCTGTCAGCATGTACCATGTGAGGATGGGGTTTTAGGAAAAGAGTGTATTTGAGCTTCACGTCCCCAAAGTGAATAATAATACAGCACCTTTTAGGGGGACATGCTTTTGACTACTGGTACCTAGTTACATACAGTCATACTAAAGTGGATGGCAACCTTAAGGAATCTGTGATTTGAGGAGGCTCCAGCAATAGTCTTATTTGAGATTGCAATATACCTTACGTAAGGGAACTTGGGAACTCTAACTTGAAATACAGATTCCCAATTTTAAAGGGACTACTGGCTTCCCAATTTGTGAGTAAGTTGTATGGCCACTTCGTGTGGTCCATTTTATGTTGTAAGCATATTTTTTCCCATCAGATTGTGTCAGGTTAGTCCTGAGAAACCTGTAGGCTTATTGGCAACTGCCAGTAGGTGGCACTCTTGTACCGTGTCCAAAAGGCAGTGTAGTGGGAACTCTTATTTAGCTGCCTCCAGTGTGGGGGGGGTGAGGCTTGGGTAGTGGCTTATCGAATGCTAGTAGTAAATCAGTAAAAGATCACTCCAACTTGAAAGTTCGTCTTTCTGGTCTCTGATTGCATCATTTAACGTGCTAAGGAGATCAGATACGAAAAGTCAAACTCCAGTCTTAGTGTAGGGAAGATGGTCAGATTTGGGCACCTGATCATACACAGTTAAAAATCCATATTTATCAACTTAAAAAAATTACAATAGGCAAGGAAGGTAAAGCTCAGTATTACACTGAAGTACTTGTACACCAAGACTGCTGGAGGAGGAATCTCGGGCTCCAGAAGTTGTCTTCCCTGGTTTGGTACCAAATATGGAGACTGAATATTTCCCATCAGTTTCTTTACTGAAGCCTTTCATAAGATTACAGTCTGGTGATGCTTTTTATCCAAGGTACAAATGCAGGGACTCTGGTGTAAACACCTGGAGTATCCTTGACTCCACAGCCATACCCCCAGGAAGTCACCCCATACACGACCCAGGTCTCATCAGGCCTTTCACACATGAGTGGCCCACCACTGTCTCCCTGGCAGCTGTCCACACGGTTGTTTTCCTGGAGGTTTCCAGCACAAAGCATTCTTCCAGTGAAGAGACCCTTGTAACGCTCTTTACAAAACCTCTTGGGTAGTAAAGGTACAGCCGCTTGTTGTAGGGTTCTTGAGTAAGCACGCCCTGCTCAGAACAAAGATGAGTTAGATTTCAGCTAATGAGCACATTTAACACAATACTGCATCATTGATGGGATTTCAAAATGGGGCTACTCCTAAATAAGGTGGGAACTGTTTAACATAGGGAGGTGGTATTGTATAAGGATGTTCATAAAGAAGTGCAGTTTCCCCTATAAACACTACTTCCTGATGGGCTATTTGTGGAAGGGCTTAAATGTATTTGTGGAAGGGCTTAAATGTGCAACTGGCATGTCCTCCATGTTCTCTTAGCCTACTAAATGGAGCCAACTAAACAGACCATCCTAGAAAATGTACTGTCCTGGTCATTCGATGTACCCAAAGGAAAGCAAATCTCATGAAGGAATCAGGGTTATAAAAACAGCAGCCTTCTAGGAGTGCTTTGCTGCCAGGGAGTAGCAGGCAAGTCTGACTGGCTCCGTAGTGGGAATTGATAAAGCATGTTTTCAACACCTACAAAAATAGGCTTGCTTGACACTTTCACTAGCCTAAGATTTCTTGATACTACATTTTTTTCAGTTGAGCACCTAATGCTAGTGAGACCTCGGTATAATTTAAGGCCTGTCCTGGAGTACATGCTCCTTGATGGGCACTAGCTTGTCACCACCACAGCCAGACAGTTGAAGCAGCTACATTCACCCAAGAACCCATGTTGAACACAACCGGTGCTTGGAGGTTGCAGGAGAAGTGAGAGGGTGAGAGAAGTTTTAAATGTTTTTCTTCAACTTTAGTCTAAGAAGCTTTGCTGTTTTCTGGCCACATTTTATTAGGAAATCCTTCAAATCAACTTGATGAAGGTTCCCTGACAAAAAGCACAAAAAAATTGAAGCCCTTTACTGGGTCAACTGTTCAAATCTGGGAAGCTTTTGAAACTACATAGGATTCTAGATTGAATTCTTGGACTTGGCCTTTAAACCTCTCTGCTGTTCTCTCACTGGTCTGGGTGGCTACAAGTGGTAGAACACTTTCTACCCTATTGGCAGTTGAGTTCTATCAGCTGTGCTAACATTGGCATTTGCACCAACACTCTCAGGATGTGAACCTAGGCTGCGTGTGTACATTTTACATCTGGCAGACTTCAGGCATCAAACCTGAGTCCCTCTAAGGTCCTACCATTCGCTGCACACCCTACCATGTAGCCACCAGACAGGAAGCTGCCCAGTTTTCCTAGTGTGCCTCTGTTTTTTTATATTACCTGTGTCTCCCCATCCTGTTATGTGACAGTTAGAGGCTGTTTTCTGTGGCCTCTCTCTCCACAGAGGCAAACAGGCTGGCAGAACATGGCTGCTTAGTCTGGCACATTGCTCCCCTGTTCCCTGTAGTCTAACCAGGGCGATGTCATAGTCACTGCTGTCTGGCCGGTAGTTCCTGTGAATCACAATCTGCTGAACCCCTATTTCCTCTTCAAACTCCTCGGGTACCAAAGTATGGTAATCCCCAACTCGAACTGCATAGCTCCTGGTGTGGTTCCCATACCTGGAAGGAAAGACCAGGATGTGAGGGTTTTTTCAGATAAGGGAAACTGATGATTGACATCTGGGATGTTAAAATAGAGCAAATAACTGTTATTCCAAGTCATGTCCTCTTCCCATTTCTCTCCCCCAATGCTCACTGCCGCCCCCGCCAAAGCCCATGGCTGTCATCTTACTTTGACTTCACCAAGTCTAGATGACTATTGCCTGGGAAGTAGCAAATGTGGAGAGGTAGTGGAAAAAATAAGGACAAAGCATCAGGTTGTCAATCCCTTATCAAATGGGAAAGTCTCCAAGAGGAACACGGTGTAGCGTAGAACTGCTGTCCTGGTTTGCCACGTTCACATGCGTGGAGGCATAAACATGGCTGCCTCCCTGTGTCCCTGTGCTCGTGCAACCCGCCTTTTCTCTAGGAAGAAGCCTCAGTTTATTATCCAGAATGAGTCGGGTACAACCAAACTCAGCAGATGCTCACTGTTAGCTTTACTTTGATGTCACCTCCATGAAGCTTAATCTATTGTACTTTCACTGTATTTTCTTTCTTGCACTCGTTATCAGTATTAAACATTTTCTAGTTTACTATTTAACCGCCTTGTGAAGTTACCAACTATCCCCAAGGTGAGACTTCTGGGCCCAGAATATACTAGCCTGCCCACCTGGTTAGTTCCTCCTCACTGAAGATTACAGCTGTTGCTCACTGCCTGACCTCTACTGACAGCAAGAACCAGGGCTTTTGGAACTTTATTTGTATATGACCCGAGGTATGCAGTAATATAAAAACACTTAGTGGTAGTAAGTCATAAATTTGTTTTCAACAATTCTTTGGTGTGTATTTAACTTTGCCGCTTACTAAAGATGAAAGCAAACTTATATACTACTGCGATGGATATGTTCTTGTGCTTTTACATAAAAAATAAAAGCTTAGCTGATCTTGGAGCATCTTCAACACCTTTCAGAGTTGATTAACATTTTATTATTTTATTTTGTATTGTTATTTTAAAACAGGATCTTACTCTGTAGCCAAGGCTAGCAGGGAACTCACTATGTTTAGCCTCAGATTTGCACCCATCCTCCTGCCTCAGCCTTCACAGTGCTGATAGTCCAGGTGTGCATCACCACATTCAAGTCTGCAATCAGAGTTTTCAAAACTTCCAATCATTTCTTTTTGCACGGAAGACAAACCCTGGTTTCTAGCAACTGTCTTCATATTTCATGCTGGCATCTAACTGCTGGGGAGAAAAATGTTAACATTCATTTTTCAATGTGGAAAACCCTTCATTTTTTTTCTCCACAAAATGGGAAAGTTGCACAGTGACCAAGACCTCCACTTGAATTTGAGTTTAAAGTGTTTATACTCAGTCGTTGGCTGGTAGAAATCTGGAGGCTGGAACTGACTCCTGACTGCTTATTTAAACAGAACCCCATTTACTCCTGTGGGAGGAGAGGTCTGAACCTCTGTGGGCCCTGAGTAAGGCTCTGACCATCTTGTATGATTATGTAGCCATCAACTGCATAACCATGAGGTTCCTGACCCTTCTCCATTTTTAACCTAAATCATTATATCTTTAAAGTTCAGAGAGTTTTTCTACCTTATGCCAAGTATGCGTCTGCAGATTCATTTCAAAATGTAAAATTAATATTTAAAAATAAATTTATCTTAAAATTTTCTAAACTGTTATATAAAAAAAAAAAAAAACCCTATACACCAGGGCAGGTAATGGTGGCGCACACCTTTAATCGCAAAACTCAGGAGGCAAAGGCAGGTGGATCTCTGTGAGTTTGAGGCCAGGCTGGTCTACATAGCTAGTTCTAGGACAGCCAGGACTGCATAGACCCTCTCTCAAAAATCAAACCAAAAAAGAAAAAAAGAAAGAAACGCACCAAAATTAACTGGACCCAAAGTCTATACATCTTAATTATTTGAATAATTTGTATAATTCTGCAACTATGGAGCTTTACATTGGACTTTCTTTATCAAATATATCTTTTATTTTCTCATGACAGGGTTTCTCTGTAGACTGT